TCTGGCTTTCTGGCTGAAGCCACGTTGCAAGCATTAAAGGCTGCGGCACAATCACTAGTTAGCCCGGAATTATGAGTAGGATATGTTATCCACAAGCTTGTCGTCAATAAAAACTACCGACTAAAAACACTTCACGATGTTATTAAGTCAGTCATTCCAGATATCACCTTCAGGCTCAAAAAAAATCAAAAGAAGAAGGAAAAGAAATTAGCTCCCGTTTCTTGACGTCCTAGTAAGGCAAATGACTGACAGGACCTTTTACATACCGGTTTTACGCCAAAGGACTTAAGCGGAATTTTTTCTGCATTAAAAGAAGAACCGGACGTTCGATCGTCGTTTCTGATGTTATCTACTATGTGGTCCACAGCGTGGTGGTGCAGAGACGATGATTTCTGCGTGAATAAGTTATAAGCGATAGCAGACTTACGTTACATCTACCGCAGTCATTCTTCGCTTCTACGGCCTGAGCCTTGTTTCAAGAAAGGTTTCAAAAGACCAGAGGCGGAATCAAGCAAGGTTATACACACATAGAAGAGACAGTAGAATACACTAGAACGGCCAGCTTGTTACTCACAAACGGTGTAGTGCTAACCCCCTGCTTAATCGAACAAACACCCGTTGTTCTGGCAACGAATATTAGCAGAAGGGCTGTCATTGCTGCTAGTGTTATTTTTTTCATGTATTTTGTTTTCTTCATATTGATGATTTATCACATCCTAATAAGACTTGATCTATACTACTAGGAACCGTGGGACTCTATATCGCGTTCCAAGAAGCAACCAGATGCTAGTGTTCCATAACAGGATCGATGAGCGCTACTCCTAACATACCATCATTTAAACTCACCCTTTTCCAACAAACTTTATCCATTTTTACCATTTCCACCATTATTCTCCTAGTAAACATGCTATTCTTGGATTAACTTCAACCAAGCGCAGAACTGCTATGGCAAATTATTGCTGGAAGAATGCATAATTACATTGCATCATTACCATCCGCCCAAACTCCTCAGCTCTGACTAGTTTTTTCAATTTTCAGTTGCATGTCTTATGTTCAAGCTTAGGTCTTTGTGCATCTGTTAGTACTGGAAGAAATTAACCCGGTTATTCAGGGTGCTGCATATTCTGATCGGGATTGTGGATAAATAGGCCTTAAGTTACCCTACATCATCTCCGGATATAGCGTTAGCCCACTTACGCATAACAATAACTCGGCCAGATGGACCATTTCGCTTATTTATCGCAAAATCCCATGGTCTTTGAGCCAATAAGCAGCTTAAACAGCGTGTTTTTCGATCCAGCAAAAAATCAGGTAAGTTTTATTTAACAGACCTGCCTTTCAGTATCCGTCGTTTCATACTAAATGTGTATTTCAGTATTACCACCTTGATATAAACGTTAAGATCTCCGTACTTTGTGATTATAATCGGGTTTACTTGCCTGCAAAAACCAAAAATTAATTTTTCAAAACCTCAGTAATGAAAACTGTTTATCCTTTATGGATCAAAGCAGTGTCTTGCAATACACTGCATTGGTCCCAAAATCGTAGTGTCTCTTGCTGTTCATCTATGTATATTATCTTGCTCTTATCGACACAGACTCTTCTAAGGCCAAGAAGTACAGCATTGATTTCTTCCTCGCCATGTGATGACGTGATCATGTGTGATTTTGAATGATCGCAAAAACACATCTGGTTCCAATGTTCAATCAGTTTTATTGTTGCAAAATTTTCCTGGACGCAACATTCAGTCCTGTTAATCAACTGTATTGCTTTGGGCCAGGCTGTTGTATTTTGACTCGTGTGTGCTTCGTGCATACCAGACGCTCTCGGCGCCAGCTCTACCAATATGACGAGCAGTTGTCAATAAGGCGCTGTTGAAATACTAAACGCTCGCTGCGCGGAACTTAACTGAGACTTATACATTGTCTCTTTTGGCTCTCACTCCCATAGTATTGCGTTTTTGGGCTATATCCCGAATCAAACCACTTTACTTCCTATGTCTCTGGTTCAATTTTCACTAATCCTTGTTGCTATGTTAAACTCTTAAATACAGCTCACTTGATGTATTTTCCTTTCTGTTTAGGTTTTCACTTTGAGAGCCCGCGGTGCACTTGGTGTAAACGTGAAGACTTTAGGAACTACTCAGTCCATGAATTTTCGGTAATTCATCCTCTTTAGACGACAGTGTTTGATTATGTACTAGTTTTCTGGTAAAATTGATTTTGCATATTTATACTGACGTTATTATTAACTAACTTCGTATTTCCTAGAGTCAAACAATACTAGTTATTCAGTAAATTTTTACAATTAAATAAAAAGTTACCGTCTTAAGAGGTGTTAGTAATTAGCAAGGAAATGGTTAACTTAAGTGGCTTTCTTCAGCTTGTAGATCATGACTGTAAGTCGAGGCTGATTATGTAACGTCAGGGGTTAATTACCAACCACTGACGTTCCATAATCATCCTGTTATATGTAATTCGGTTTACAGAGATCCCGTGAAGTGTCCGAACTTCCCCAAAACACTTAAATTTAATAGTGATCACTTTGGGTTTCGCAAGTCACGCTTGCCAGGAACCGTCCCCTGTTACTCGTGCACTGTCCTGTTCGTTATTTATTTAGCATCTGATTTCGACCGTTTGACAGGCTTATGAAAGCTTAGTGTGCGTGTGTACCCGTATTGCATTTAGTTGACAACATGTGGACGCCGGTCGGGAAGTTGACTAAAGACTATGAATGACGCAGTTTCAGCCCTCTCTCAAGCACATACTGGAGATGGCACATTTCTGCAAGTCAGTTACAGAAAATATTTTCCTTAATCATATCAGAGGGAGCAGTTGGTTATTTTACAGAAACCTTAAAGCAGATACAAATGTATCTTAGCAGGGAAAATTAGCATAGGCATATGTTTCGATATATCGGAACAGCACTATTTTGCGCTTATTCTACCTTCATTCAGCCATTCGTAACCCTGATTGTCATCATGCGCGCACGCACAGCGCAGCTGGTCCACAGACGTCATCTGTCACCAAAACCTCGCCACCTGACATTATTCGTCACTCCAGATTTGATATTGATTAGTACAGAAATTGATGCGCACAATTTAAACGATGTTTGTCATAAGGACTTGGGCGTGCTTTCACTCGGTCCACAAAATACTGGTAGTAAATCCCTTTCCATGTCTCTTTGTATTGGATTAGCGCCTGCTTATCCTTTTTGATTTCGACCCTCTTGACGATTTAGGAAGCTTTCTCTAAAAAATACACTTGGCTTCGCCTATCAGGTCTTGGGACGTTTGTTGATAGTTTCCGGACTAACCGTAGTTCTGATGCAATTCTTGATCTTAAATCGAATTTCGATTAGTTTACACGATCGCTAACCGTAAATGAAATAAAGCTTATAATCCGAATCAGAAGCTCGGCTCTGAGGAGTCAATTTTTCATTGCCTGTCTATAAATCTGGTGTCTGAGCACCGCCTGAATTTTCGATAGGTCCTTGAACTTTCTCATTTTAGTTCATGGACATCTTTAAGTTAGTTCTAAGCAGTTATCTTGGTTAATTGATTGGTTGCGCATTCCGGAGGCAAAAGGTTTTGAAGAATTGCTTGCTCGTTGATATTACAGCTTACCATTATTGTACTGGGCTTATCGGTGCTTATGTTTTTGAGGAATCAATCCTGCGTTAAAGTGTGTCGACATGTCCCCGAGAAGGTTGCTCTAGGATAAGTTAAAAGGCTTCGTGCTTTTCAGGTTGTTTTGTTAAGCCTGTGGTCTTATCGGTCCCGCTGAGTGATTTTGTATGGACAAAGTCTGACTATTTGGTATGTTCACTTAGATACAGAAATTTGCCCCGCCAAACTACTCTTGTTTGTTTTCTTACAAAGAATACAGGACCGCGGCGATGTCCTCTGCATTAAATTTGACCCAACCTGCACCATACTAAGCCTACAGAGGAAACATAATTCCGTTGAGTTCATCAATTTTGATGGTGGATGTGCAGACAGCACCGAATACTCACAAACTTGCAAGGTATTTTTTGCGGATGAATTTTTCTCATTTTTGCTGAATTAGAATTCTTCTCAGCTACTTGGATTCGTTTGGACACGCGAGCGTGAGCTGGTCTATGTTACCGCGGACGGATTCGAACTCTATCAGGTTTGTGCTTTTTGTTTATACATCTGTCTATTGTGTTTTTACACAGCGACGGCCACCTTAATTGCTTCTTTTACCACGTTTGAGGAATATGTAATGCATACTCAGTTAACGAGTCGAGACAGTCGAACTAGTTTTATATTACTGTCCCAAATAAGCCTCTTGTAGAACCGCTGACAGACAATAGTGTTTCTTTCGCACTGGGCTAACTGAGGGGTAAATGCTTTAATTCTATGAAAG